TTTAACGATTATTTGAGTTTTACTTATTATACTTAATTCTTGTTTTAATATTAGACATACATGCAGAGAAAAGAACTCAATACTTTTGTATACTGCATTTATTAATACAAATATGTACATTATCTGTTAATATGAAAAATATAGAATATATATATTATTGAAGGTAATATGAAGAAACTATGATACGTGATATAGCGTGCGTAATATATATAATATATTATATGTATGTTGTTGTATATTAGAGTAACATTACGTATTTTGTCAATTTTAATAACGTATTATGTAAGTAATATAACATATTTTTGCTAACAATTAATTTTACTGATATTGTTACTATTATTAATAAATAATATACTTTTAAAGCATTTTATATGTTAGTGACCTAACAGAGTAATATTACGGCATTCCTCGTTGATATGTTATATGGAATTATAGAATTATACTTGAGGCAAGCTTTACTTGTGAATTTAGGAATATATATACATCTTTTTGTAAATGATTACTTTTACGTATTTGATAGATTTAGTTTTGGAATCATCTTTACAGAGCTACTTTATTGATAACTCTTCTTTATCTTAACTAGTAACATAAAATTAGTAGTGGCAATGTATTTGCTGGGTGAGTACTTCCTCTCAAAGTTGATACTATTTCATGTTTCTTATTGTCTTCTGTTTTTTTTATTTATTATTTTCTATACATGTGAATTTTTGTTCCTGGTTCAGTTCTTTCAAGTATAAAGTATCTAACATTTTAAAATTTTCAAAGTCAGTATATACAGGGTGTCTCCCGTATAAGTGGCCATTCCTTTTTATTTTGTAAACTAATAGAGATAGATCTAATAAATATAATATCAAATTAAACGGTTTTAATTAAACTTTATTGTAAGCACAGTGATCACTTAAAAACATTATCTATGTTAAAGAGCGGAAAGACATGATTAATTTTTGCACGGTGAAATGACAATTTTAGTATGATAAAAGTTGTAGCGTTCTTTTTAACAAATACAACGATGTATGATATAACGAAATTATTTTACGAATTATAAGAGTTATTTTGGTTCAAAGTTTTGCGGGCGGCTATTATCTTTTCAATTTCGGCCCTGCGGTGTGGCCAACTTCTGACTCTCGCACTGACGTGAGTACTATGATCAAAAAACATTACACGTCAACTGTCAACGCGAAAGTTGGTCACACTGCAAGGCCGAAATTGAAAAGGTAACAGTCGCCAGCAAAACTTTAAACCAAAATAATTTGTATAATTTGTAAGATAATGTTGTTATATCACACATCGTTGTATTTGTTAAAAAAAACGCTACAACTTTTATCATATTAAAATTGTCATTTTACCGTGCAAAAGTTAATCATGTCTTTCCTCTCTCTAACATAGATAAAATATTTCTAAGTGATCACTGTGCTTAAAATAAAGTTTAGTTAGAGCCGTTTAATTTGATATTATATTTATTAGGTCTATCTCTATTAGTTTACGAAATAAAAAGGGCCACTTATACGGGGACACCCTGTATATACATACAGACTTTTATATAAATATTTGTTAATAACTTTTTAATATAAAATGAGCAACAGCTAAAATCTTTGGAATTAATTGTTCAGGAAAATGTTCTTGACAGCGTGTGACAAGATCAAAGTCATTCGAGTTGGGTCACCCTACTTATAAAATGTATTTTACGTAACTGTATTGTACAATGCACTGGACAGTTATCGTTAATGTTTCACTTACGTTGTCATTATTGTAAACGTTTAAAGCCAACATCAAGAGCTGACATAGTTACTAGTTTTAGTAAAGAATATACTAGAAAGCGTGCTCTTCGATATACGACATGTAAAAGAGGAAGCACAAACAAGAAAAAAATAGGGTCAAAAAGAAGAAAGAGGAAATAAGATTGCCAATCATTTTTGTTTTTTATGTATTAGTTTTAAGTGTCGTCAGATTTTGTGAAACCGTGCGACAACATGGATAAGGATACAAGAGATATAAAGCAAAATCCTCAAGAGACCGCAAATATCCTCAGTGTTCTATTTTTCTGGTTTGTTAAGACTCTTGTCTAAGAGTAATATATATTTGAAAAAAAGAAAGAAGGAAAAGAAAAAATGAATGTTTTTGCTGTTTATAAGAAATATTTTAATTTCTACGAAAAAAGATTGTCATATTTTCATTCTAAATACTTTTTTTAAGAAAAAGAATTTTTATCTTAAAAGTAAAATTATGTATTTCTTCGA